AAGGGGAGAGAAAGCTTTCAATCAAAAGCTGAGGAAGTTTATCATCACTCTATCTGCCTTACAATAAATGCTAATGGAGCTTTTCAAGTTGAAATGAGGGATGCTAAGCACCAACACAAGAACATAAGAAAGTGTGAAACTTGTTGGTAAAGGTAAACGTATAGACAGATGAAAGTATTTTATTATAATGCTGGTGGCAAATCTCTTTTAATTCTACTATAAAAGGTAAAAGACTAAAGAACTAAAAATAACTAGGGACCAGCAGATAGTATAATGGTATGTCACTGGACTCCCTCATGGCCAACTGCAGTTCGAGTCCTGAACCTGGCAGCATAAAACTCATGCTGGATGCATGGAGAATGGAAGGGAAGGAATTGGGGCATGGTCATCCTCCCTGGAGAGGTGATTTTTCACTTTCTTTTTGTCTCTCCAGCAAGTGCACGCATCCTATAGCAAAAATCTCTTTTAAAAAATAACTAGAGGGAGATCAGTAGGTGGAGTGGTGGTTAAGGTGCTAGACAATCCCACATGGCTGACAACAGTTTGAGTCCCAGACCTGGTGGCTTGCTTTCTTACTTTCCCTCTCTCTCTCTTTTTCTGTGTCTCTCTCTGGTCAAATTAAAAAATAAGTGAATGGATAAATAAGATTAAAAACAAATAGTTAAAAATATCTATAACTGAAATATATTATGGATATATAATATAAATAGCTATAAACTGTAACATCAAAAGTTGAGGAGAAGAAAGATAAAAACAGAGTTTCTATATGCAAGGCAATTTAAATTATTCACAATTTAAAACATACTGTTTTATACTGTTATAAATATTAGATATTTAGTATAAGCCCAGTGTTAACCACAAACAGAATTTCAATGGAAGTTGCAGAAAAGAACAAGAGAAATAAGTCAAAACCTATCAACAGAAAACAACAATGAAGCATAATGAAGGACAGAAAGAAATAAAAGAGACAAAGAAAGTATAACACAAACAGAAAACATCAAAATGGCAATAGTAAATCCTTCCCTAACAATAATTTAAATGTCAGGATCAGCAGTTGGCATAATGGCTGTGTCACTGAACTCCCATGTAGTTGCCCATGGTTCGAGTCCTGGACCTGGCGGCTTTAAACTCACACTGGGCACATGTGCATGCATGCATGCATGCATGCGTGCCCAAGATCCCAAGAGGAGAATGGAGGAGAAGGGATTGCGGCATGGCCATCCCCCCTGGGGGGTGCTTTCTAGCTTTCTGTCTGTCTCTTCTGTCTTTCTGGCAGAGTGCACATGCCCTGTAGCAAAAACCTCTCAAAACAAACAAACACTATGATTTAAATGTTAATGAGCTAAAATCCCAATAAAAAAAGAGTGGATAAATGGATCTAAAAAAACCCCCCCCACAAGATCCAACTGTAGATCCAGTATAAGAACTTCACTTCAGATTAAATGACAAATATAAGCAGAAAGTGAAGGAATTACAAAAACAACTTTTTTGGACCAGAGGGTGGCATGGTAGTTGAGGCACTGGATCCCACATAGTCCATTCCATGGTTCAAGTTCTGGACCTGGCAGCTTGACGGCCATGCTGTGCATACATGCATGTGTGCTCATGGTCCCAGGGGAGGGTGGAGGAGAGGGACTGTGGCATGGCTGTCCCCCCGGGGTGGTGGTGGTGGTGATTTGTCATTTTCTTCCTCTTTTTCTGCCTCTCTCTTTGGTGAGCACAGAAACCATGACAAAAATCTAAAAAGAAAAAAAAAAAGAAAGAGAACTTTTCTTAGTTCCTTCATTATGTCAGTAGAAGGAAATACATAATATCACAGATGTACAGTGTAGGAGACTCAGACTTTCCCTTTTTTCAAGTTGCCATTGATTCTGAACCACCTAACTACTAAAGATAAAGCAAGCATTTGTGCAGAGCTAGAGGCTATGTCCAGCTTCTCAAGTTGAGAAGTATGCAAAGATTCACCAAATGGTGGTTGAACACATAAAGTTGCTTCATCCCCCACAAGGTGCTTGTGCTTACCAGAGAGAGAGAGAAAGACAGAAACAGAGACAGAGACAGACAGGTTTCTTTAACTACTGGGCTACAGGGCAAGTCCCAAGTTTGTAATTTATAATGAACATGTACACACACTCTAGCCAGTTACTTACTGTCCCCACTGATACCATTCTACAGCTTTTAAATAATGAGAAAGTCACATGGCAACATCTGACTTCCAAAAGACCTCCAACTGAAACCACTTTGGGAAGGAGGATGTCTTCCCAAGTTAGATACGCATGGAATCTTAGCACTTCATCTTTCTATCCTTAGGAGAAAAGAAGGGTAACTGCTGTCTCATTTAGTCATGCCCAAGTTGTTCTTTTGGGTCATCGGAAAAGTCATGATGCATTTTCCTATGCAACCCAATATTTTGTTTTCTGATTAAGAAGCAGCTAAGAAACCATCCCTATCAGAGTGGAAAAGCATGACAGAAGCCTCTCCAATGTGTGAAAATCTTCAGCATACAATAGAAGTAAATAGAAAGTAGTAGTCTAATTTAGAAATGATACTCAGTGTTTGACGCTATCTTAGATATTAATAAGCATAATCCTCTGGTTTTGTATGTTCTGAGACTAAAGCTTTTTATGGGCTGAATTGTGTCTCCCCAGATTCATATGCTGAGGTCCTAAACCTCAGTACCTTAGAATAGATTTGGAGATGAGGTATCTAAAGAGGTAATCAAGATTAAGTAATGTCATTAGGGTGGACCCTATTCCAACATGATTTATAAAAAGAGGCGAGTAGGACGCAGACAAGCACAGAAGAATGACCGTGACAGAGGGAGAAGACTAGTATCCCCGAGTTAGGGATAAAGGCCTCAGAAGAAATCAATCCTACTGACACCTTGAACTTGGATTTGCAGCCTTCAGAAGTGAGGAAATGCATTTCTGTTTTTTTGTTTTTAAGGCTTTTGCCATAGAGCGTGTGTGTTTGTCAGAGAGAGAGAGAGAGACAGTGAAAGGGAAAGTGAGTAATTCCTCTCTAGGAGAGATGGCCTTGTCACAGTTTCTCTTGGGAGTTTGGGCACGCACACATAAGTGCCCGGTTAGAATATTCAGTAAGCCATGCTGTAAGCAAGTGACCTGTCATCCAGGGTTTGTGGCTCCATTTATAGAGCACAGACACTGACTTCTCTTTATCAATGACAGTCTGAGATGGCATCTTCTTCCAGTATAAGACTGTTTTGTCCACACAGAAAAATCTTTTGTCTGGTGTCGCCACTTTCATCAGTGGTTTTAGCCTCATCAGCACTTGCTGCTTCCACCCTGCACTTTGATGTTATGGAGATGGCTTCTTTCTTTTTTTAAACCTCATGAAACAACCTCTGCTACCTTTTACAGTTTTCCTTGGCAGCTCCCTCACCTCTCTCATCCCTCGAATAACTGAAGAGTTAGAGCACTGCTCTGAATTAGGCTTAAAGGCATGCTGTGACTGGTTCGATCTTCCATCCAGACCATTAAAACTTTCTCCATATCGGCAACAAGGCTATTTTACTTCCTTATCATTCATGTGTTTACTGAAGTAACTTTTTTTTTTCTTTTTTCTTTTTTTTCCTGGAAGGCTTCCCAGAGAAAGACACAGAGACAGAGAGAAGAAGGAGAACAGAAAACATCCCTCCTCCTCCCATGAGGAATAGTTATACTTGAGACTTGTTAATTTATTATGAACAGAAATTTATTTCTTCCCAATCGGAGGCTAAGAAGTCTAAGTTTAAGATACTGGCAGGTTTGGTTTCTGGTGAAGGCTTTGGACTCTGTGTCCAAGATGACTTTTTTTTTTGCTATAGGGCGTGTGCACTCGCCAGGAAGCCAGAGAGAAACAGAGAGACAGAAAGTGAGAAATCACCCCCCCAGGGGGGATGGCCACACCACAATCCCTTCACCTCCGATCTCCTCTTGGGATCTTGGGCATGCACGCACATGCGCCTGGTGTGAGTTTAAGTCACCGGGTCTGGGACTCGAACCAGGGTCGATTACATGGGAGTTCAACAACATAGCCCTTATGCTAACTGCTGGTCCCTCAAGATGACTACTTGAGTGCTGTGTCTTTACAGGGTGAAAGGGACAAAAGATAAAAATGGGAGCCAGCTGGTAGTGTGGCGGTTAAGGCACTGGACTCCCACATGGCTTACTGCGGTTCAAGTCCTGGACCTGGAGGGTTGCTTTCTCTCTCTCTGTCTCTCTGGAAAGCTCACATGCCCTATAGAAAATTAAATAATAATAATAAATAAAATTAAATAAATGATTAATAAAAGAGAAAAATGGCATAAGCTGGTTTCTTCCATCTCTTATAAAGCACTAATCCATTCAAGGGACTTAATGACTTAATTACCCAATACAACATCATTTATTTGCCCTTAATTCTCTGGGCCAACATTCTGGCTGAGTGTCCCGATCCGCAGGGCAGGTTTCCTGAGGGAGGGAGTGAGAGATGGGACAAACACACAGACACACAGAGTGGAGACAAGACGAGGTGCTGATCAAGTCTTGTTTATTAAGGAAGAATTGTGAGCTTATATACAGGCTGGTGGGCACCAATCAGTTGCTCGAAATGCAAATGAGATAGAACAGTGTGAGCCAATCATTGATGTGGGTGGATCTCTCCCATTGCCTAGAAACCCAACTGCCCCCAGGGAGAACAGTTGGTCACATGATTTCTGAGAAATGGTTTGCTCAATGAGGAAGTAAAACCTAATGGTTTCCAAGATGGTGGATAGCTCAAGATGGCTTCCGTATGCAGTGCCTTCCACATGTCCCCCTTTTTTATTTTTTCAAAGAGAGGAGAAACACCTGGGGGAATCGTGCCTGTCTTAGGTTGGAGTCGTTTTTTAGAGCCACATGTCCATCCTTACCCGTCATTGGAGAATCCCATTGCAATGATGGGTTTCCTGTCTTGGGTGGGAGGACTGTACAGCTGTTACAGGCTCAGACTCTCTTACCTGTCTTTGTTCAGCGCCTCAGGCAGGAGCACAGTCTAGGCCCTGCGGTCTTCCATCTCCAGGTTGTGATAGTGGACTTGGATAGGCTGCATTTTTATTGAATCGATTTGTTGTTTAAGGAATGCCATGAGCTTATTAAAAAGTATAGGCCCCAAAGAACAAACAATCAGAAGGCCCAAAAGAGGACCAAGCAAGGGGAGTAAAAATGGGAGAAGTCTGTTCCACGTGGTCCATAAGGGATTGTTGGCAAATTGTTTTCTATATTGAAGAAGATCTTCTTGTAATTGGTTGAGCTTGTCACAAACTCTGTCGGACTTGTTGGCGTAAAAGCAGCAGCGTTCCTGTAAAGCAAGACAGAGACCACCACCCCCCTTCTGCCAAGAGGAGGTCTAACCCACGTCTATTTTGGAGTACTACTTCTGCAAGGGAGTCTTATTGGTCCTGAATGAAGATAACTGTGGAGGCTAATTCCTGATCATCTGAGATAAGACCCTCAGTGACTTGGCATAGATGGAGAGAATAACCCAAGCCAGTGGAGCTGACAGCTGTAGCTGCGGTGATACTCAGGATAGCCAGAATGGGAATAAATTGTATAGCGCGTTTGGATCTGCCTGTGATGAGGTCGAAGGTGGGGACGGGGACTGGTTCATCCCCCTTAACAATCTCTATATCAGGGATAAGAATGGCAAGGGTACAGGAATATCAATGGCTCTAAGGATAAATTTCCCAGTCCTGTCCTATTAAATTTAGGTTTTGGTATCAAGGGATGGATGATACCTGATTCATTTTTTCCTAAGCCTTTTCCTGGTGCTAACATTTGTGCAGTAACTGTATCAGAAGAGCTGAACACAATGAGGCTCATTTGTGATAACAAATCTGTACCCCAAATGTTTATGGGGAGACCTTCTATAATAAAGGGTTGGATGGTTCCTTGGTTTCCCTCTCTGTCTGTCCACTGTAATACTTTAGTGCTCCTTTCTGGATTCTGGCTTTGACCAATGCCTTTTAGGTGGGCAAGGGTTGGTGTTAGGGGCCAAGTTTGGGGCCAGTTGTCTTTTCTGAGAATGGTAACATTGGCTCTGGTGTCTTGTCCAGAAAATTGTTTACCATCTAACCATAAAGTAAGCATTGGTTTCTTTGGGGAAATTTGTTGGACCTAATAGGCATCTGAGGAACCAAACCCTTTTTCACCTTGTGAGGAGGTTTGGATGTTATTTGGAGTGGAAAGCAGTGGAAGGAGGAGTTGAGCTATGCACTTTCCAGCTGTAATAGTTGTGGAGGGGAGCCATAATTTTTATCTCTCCCTCATAGTCATTATCTATTACTCCTGGAAAGATTTGAAGTCCCTCCATAGCGGCACTACTACGACCCATGAGTATTGCAAAGGTGTTTGGAGGTAAAGGGCCAAAGATTCCAGTAGGCAAGGCCTGTACCCCCATCTCATCTTGGGAGTTAATACTGTGTGGGTGGTGGAACAGAGGTCCAGTCCTGCACTTCCTGAATTTGCTCTAGAGAGATCTGAAATGGATTGTTTGTTGGAACAGTTTGCATTGCCCCCAAAACTTGTTTGGGTATGGGGGCCTGGGGCTGGCTCCTGTTTCCGTTTCCCTGAGAGTGAATGAGTGGTCTGCCATGGATATCTGTTTTGGACCTGCACTCGTTGGCAGGATGACGTCCCCTCTGGCACTTACTGCATAACTCAAGGGGTCGATTCTGTCTCTGATCTTTAATATTTTTTGTTTTACATTGTTTTGCCATGTGTCCTGGGCGACCGCATTTAAAACAATTACCTCAATTACTGCGGTCAAGGAATTGGCGGACGGTGTACCCTTGAAGGGCAGCGGCCATGGCCAATCCCTCTTGGTATGCTGATCCAATCTCTGAGCACAGACGTATGTACCCTGTCAGGTCCGTCTTTTTTCTATGTGGTCTAATGGCTGCCTGACAAGAGGCGTTAGCATTTTCATACGCCAGTTGTTTTACAAAGTCTGTACTTGCATCAGCATTACCGAATATTCTTTCTGATGTGGTAATTAATCGATGCACAAAGTCAGAAAAAGATTCATCAGGCCCTTGTCTAATGTTAGTAAGGGAGGTGCTCAAATCTCCTTTGGCAGGGAGTTTTTTCCAGGCCTTTATGCCTGCTGTATGAATTTGTGCAAAGAGCCCTGGGTCATACTGCATTTGATTTTCATTGTG